CAAAAGCTCAGGAAGCTGAAGTTCTTTTTGCTAAGATGGTGAAAGCTCATCCTGAGGTCCCTTCAGCTCCAAGTGTCTCCACTCTTGCAACTGGCCCATCAAATCCTCCACCTGCAAGTCCAACTGTGGTAGATGCTTTTGAATCTACCCCATTTGATCCGAAGAGGAAGTAGGATCGAGTAATTTTTTTTGTAATGAAACAACATTGGGAATGATAGACATGAATGATATAACCATGTTTCTTAAGCAGTATCATTTTTATAATGGTTTATCTGATAATAAAGGATTATTTTTTCCTTTGGTGATTTAACCATTAAGGGAACCCTTCTTGAAATGGATTTGTGTGAAGCAAGTATATTTATACTTGTTTCTTCTTGTGGTTTTTCGATGTGGGACAATCTCGTGGCTTATATTACCGAACTTAGAATCAGTGAATATGAGCGTAAGAGTAAGGTTTGTTGAGCCGGACACTAAGGGTCCGAGGCGAATAAATTACTCCCCGGCGCTGAGCCTGAGGGGAGGTTTGCTGAGCCGGACACTTAGGGTCTGAAGTGAATGAATTACTCCCCGGCGCTGAGCCTGAGGGGAGGTTTGCTGAGCCGGACACTTAGGGTCCGAAGTGAATGAATTACTCCCCGGCGCTGAGCCTGAGGGGAGGTTTGCTGAGCCGGACACTTAGGGTCCGAGGCGAATAAATTACTCCCAGGCGCTGAGCCTGAGGAGAGGTTTGCCGAGTCGGACACTTAGGGTCCGAGGCGAATAAATTACTCCCAGGCGCTGAGCCTGAGGAGAGGTTTGCCGAGCCGGACACTTAGGGTCCGAGGCGAATAAATTACTCCCCGGCGTTGAGCTTGAGGGGAGGTTTGCTGAGCCAGACACTTAGGGTCCGAGGCGAATAAATTACTCCCAGGTGCTGAGCCTGAGGGGAGGTTTGCCGAGCCGGACACTTAGGGTCTGAGGTGAATAAATTACTCCCCGGCGTTGAGCCTGAGGGGAGGTTTGCCGAGCCGGACACTTAGGGTCCAAGGCGAATAAATTACTCCCCGGCGCTGAGCCTGAGGGGAGGTTTGCTGAGCTGGACACTTAGGGTCCGAAGCGAATGAATTACTCCCTGGCGCTGAGCCTGAGGGGAGGTTTGCCGAGCCGGACACTTAGGGTCCGAAGCGAATAAATTACTCCCTGGCGCTAAGCCTAGGGGGAGGTTTGCATATATTTTTCTCAAACAACTTATCATGAGGCCGAGAATTCAAAAATGATAGGAGGCCAAGAAAGCAAGTAACAGTGGCTGTGAAGTTTCTTATTTGTTGACTTTGGAGACTTTCCTCCATTGATACTCCCTTCTTGGCAACCAAATGTAGTGGACTACGCATATATTAACCGCATTTCTTTTGTATTTCTATCCGATGTGGGACATAGACTAAATTTTGTCAAAAAGGTCAGTGTAAGGAATGCCTCTGGTATTGAGCTTGACAGCCTTTAATACCAATGGGCCCTCCTTACACCGCAATCAACTATTTGAATATTCCCATATATAACAGAATGTAACACATACTTTTTTGTCGATGTAGGATAGAGAGTTTTAATCATAGGCCATAACTCATGTTTTTTCTTAAAAATCATTGTGATGAATGCTTTTTTAATAGCTTGCTTCTAACATTGCTTTACATAAAAATTGCATAGTGCGACTTGGCATGCATAAAATCTGCATAATGCGATGCATGTATACAAGTTGTATAATCATAGAGTAGTATGAAAATATCTCTGCATAAAAATTGCATAATGCGTAATCATAGAGTATTATGGCCCCCATTTTTATGGAAAGGAATAAATGGAGTAAAATTGTACTGAATATGATAGAAGTAAAATAAAGAAAAGTTTGGCTGACTGTGGGCATACTCAGCCTTATTCGTGAAGAATTTGTAGCAAAATTGACAAACTTATCTAATGGAAATACCTTTTAAGGTGTATTGCATTCCAAGGACGCGCAATGGGACGTCCGTCAGCTTCGGCCAAACGATATGCTCCTTTCCCCACTACTTCGGTAACCCTGTAGAGTCTGGTCCAATTAGGTTCCAGTTTCTTTACATAAGCTGTCTCTTACTTTAAAACCCAATCGCCTACCACAAAGCTCCTGAATCTGACACGTTTATTATAACTGTTGCGCAGCTGTTGCTGATATAAAGCAAGCCTAATTGCTGCAGCATCCATTTTTTCGTCCAGGAGATCGAGACTATGTTCGAGCTGCTGACTATTGTTTCCTTCAAGCAATAAGAATGTTCGAAGGGTTGGAACTGCCGCTTCGGTTGGAATCACAGCTTCAGATCCATAAGCCATGGCAAAGGGACTCTCCCCCGTAGGCCGCCGTGGTGTGGTTCGGTACGCCCAAAGCACCTGAGGGAGATTCTCGTACCATTTCATTTTGAATTTCTCTAATTTCTTCTTTAAACAACTGAAAATTGTCCGATTAGTTATTTCAGCCTGTCCATTCCCTTGTGGATGACTGACTGCAGCTAACTTTTGTATAATTCCATGCTTAGCAAAGAATTTTCTTGTATTTCTATTATCGAGGTTCTTACCATTGTCCATCATAATGACTTTTGGGACCCCAAACCGGCAAATGATGTTGTTCCAAAGGAAACTTTTTACCTGCTCATGGGTCACACTTGAGCAGGCCTCGGCTTCTACCCATTTAGTGAAATAATCTGTAGCCAGTAGCACGTACTCCTTTTGTTCCACAGTCTTGGGTAACGGGCCTACCATATCAATCCCCTATTGTGTGAATGACCATGGATTTGCCATTGCGTACAAATCTTCGGCAGGTTGATGCTTCATGGGACCGTGACGTTGACATTTGTCACACCTCCGTATACTCTTCTGCATTCCGGGCTAAGTACGGCCAGAAGTAACCTTGAGTCAGGACTTTATGCGCGAGGGATCTGCCCCCAGAATGGTTGCCACAATCTCCGTCATGGATTTGTCTTAACACCACAAGAGCCTTAGTAGGGCTTAAACATTTCAGGTAAGGACTTGAAAATGACTTTCGGTATAACTGATTGTTAATGATGGCATATTTAGCTGCGGTGATACGGAGCTTCCGTGCTTCGGACTTCTGGTCTGGAAGAACTCCATGCTTGAGGTAAGCTTCCAATAGATCAATCCAGCATGGTTTTCGAGGAATAACTGGAACCACCATTACTTTCTGCGGAGGATTAATGCTGGGCTCGTCCAGAACGTCAATCGGCACAATCCGAATCAGATCCTCATTTGAAGATGACGCTGATGTGGCCAATTGATCTGCTTCGGCATTCTTAACACGAGGTACCTCATAGAATTCGATCTGATCGAATCCCCGTGCAACGTTCTCTATAGCTTCTTTATATGCTTTCATTCTTTCCTCTTTGGGATGGTACTGACTTGTCACTTGATTTGTAACAAGCTGTGAGTCACTAAAAACTTTTAAGCAACGTATCTGGAGATTGCTAGCCAATCGAAGACCAGCAAGTAATGCCTCGTACTCGGCCTCATTGTTCGTAGCTGGGAACTTCAAACAGATAGATTGTTGCAGCTTGGTGCTTTCGGGTGTTGACATTACAACGCCCACTCCTGCATTTGCTTGATTTGAGGAACTATTGACTCGAAGTTCCTACTGTGGTTCAAGGTGTGCCGGCTCTTCGGGAGTATCTTCATACTCGAGAAGAAAGTCCGTTACGGCTTGTCCTTTGTGCGACACCCTTGGCTCATAAGTTATGTCGAAAGAACTAAGCTCGATAGCCCACTTGGTAATTCTCTCAGATAAATCGGGCTTAGAGAGTATACCCCGTATAGGATAGTTGGTGAGTATCACAATGCTATGAGATTCGAAATAATGCCGAAGCTTCCTCTTGGCATAGATCAAAGCTAAGATGACTTTTTTCTGCTTTACTATATCGCGTCTCCACATCTGTCATGGTCTTACTTGTGTAGAAGACTGGATATTGTCTCTTTCCTTCCTTTCTAATCAATACTGCACTTGTCGCTATATTAGAAATTGCCAAATACATAATAAGAACCTCCCCGGGTTTTGGAGCGGATAAAATTGGTGGTTCAGCCATGTAACCCTTCAACCGACTGAGGGCCTCCTGCTGCTGAGGTCCCCATATATCTTTATTCTTGGATCATATAGCTTCAAAGAATGGTTTGCACTTATCTGACAATCGGGATATAAACCGGCTGAGTGCTGCGATCCGACCAGTAAGAACCTGCACCTCCCTGCGATTTTTTGGTTCTTGATTCTGGATGAGGGCCTTAGCCTGAGCCGGACTTACCTCTATCCCTCTTTTATTCACTATGTGGATAAGGAATTATCCTGATAATACCGCAAAGGAGCACTTGGATGGATTCAACTTCATGTTGTACTTCTTCAAAGTATTGAAAACTTCCTGTAGATGTTTCGGATGATCTTCTTTTTTCACACTTTTAACCACCATGTCATTTATATATGCTTTAACTGTCTTTCCCAGCAGATTATCGAATATCTTGTTGACAAGGTGTTGATAAGTAACTCCAGCATTCTTCAGTCCGAAGGGCATGACCCTGTAACAATAAGTCCCCTTTTTTGTAATAAAAGCCGTTTTTTCTTCATCCTCGAGGTTCATAGGAATCTGATTGTATCCCGAGTATGCATCTAGGAATGTCAACCTCTCGTAGGTGGTGGTAGCATCAACCATCTGGTCTATCTTGGGCAGAGGGTAGCTATCTTTAGGGCAGGCTTTGTTGAGGTTGGTATAATCTACATAAACCCTCCATTTTCCATTCTTCTTTTGTACGACTACCACGTTTGACAACCACTGCGGATATTGCACTTCTCGAATGAAACCTGCTTGCAACAATTTGCTCACTTCTTCAGCTATAATGTGATTGCGTTCAGGGGCAAACCTTTGGTGTTTCTGCTTGACCGGTTTGAACTCCGGATCCACCTTCAGGCTATGGCAAGAAACTGAGGGATCGATCCCTACCATGTCCTAGTGATCCCACGCAAAGGCATCTGCATTGCTCCAGATAACATCAATTAGTGCCTCCTTTTCTTCGGACGTGGAAGAAGAGCCTAGATAAGTAACCTTCTGAGGGTCGCCGAGGATAACTTCCACGGCTTCGAGGGTCTCCTCGGTGGGCTTCGCAATTTCCTCTTCCTCCTTTACCTTAAGATACTTGGGCAGAGGGCTCTGTAATTGCTATTTGGGTCCAGTTTTGGAAGTCACACCTGGTTGTTGTTGAGTCGACACCCTCTTCGCCTCAATTTGTGTCAACATATAGCATTCCTTCGCTGCGACTTGATCTCCCCACAGATTAATTACTTATTTTTCGTTCGGAGATAAGCACCGCATCACCTGGTGGAGGGTGGACGGAACTCATCTCATCCGATGTATCCAGCCTCTTCCCATGATGAGATTGTAAGAAGGATGGATCTCCGTTAAAACAAAGTTCTCCTTCAGAGTCCTCTTCGCCGCGGTTACGAACAAGTCTATTACTCTAAGGGGATCTACTCTTGTGCCATCGAATCCCATCAACGGGCTGGAGGTAGGTCGAATAGATGATGATGAGATCTCTAACTGATCAAAGACCGTCTTTGTGATTATGTTAGCGCTATTTCCTGGATCTACCAAAACCCTCCTGATCATACAATTGGCCACTAAAAGACTGATGACCAATGGATCCTTGTGGGGGAGTTGCACTCTGGATAGGTCGTTATCTCCGAATCCAATACTAATGCTACCCGAATTGATAGCATTGACCGAGGATATCTTCCTGAGCTTGTGGGTCGCCCTCAATCTGGATTTGTACACCTCCTCGGACTCTTGATTATTTTCAGACTTGCCATGTATTGCACGGATGACTTTTACTTGCGTACCTTCTACCTTGCGGGGATAGACCTCGCGGGGCTTTGCATGCTCCTTTGTCATGAGGTAATCTGTCAACTCACCTCTGGCGATCATATTTTCCACCTGTCGCCTGGGGGATCGGCAGTCGTTGGTTGAATGCCCATAATCTAGATGATAAACGCAATGTTTGCTTTTGTCCCTTTGCTCCAGGGGTTGCTTTATCGGCTGCGGAGTTGTGAACTTCGTCTTATTTTCTTGGAAAAGCCGAGCCAAGGTAGTTCAGAGAGGTGTAAATCCTTCCTCTACCCTTTGCCTTTTTTCAGGTGCCTGGGTGACTGGCGTTGAGGAATGTTGGCTTTTTTGAATCTTTGGAGTTGGAACTCTTTCTCGAGGCTTGTTTTCCACTGTCACGAGGGTAGCGTGCTGCGCTCGGTGGGCTATATTTTTCTCAAGCCGAATGTAGATCTGGGCCCTGGCATTTAGAGTCTGCATGTCGGGAGGAGAATACTTGACTAAGGAAGTGTGAAACTTCGTCCCCTGAATCATTACTAGTTTAAATGTCTCTATAGCAGTTGCGGGATGACAATCCGTTATTTCTGATGCCTCCATGTCGAATCTTGACAAGAAATCCTGTAATGTTTCCCCCATTTTCTGCCTTACGGTGAAGAGGCTGGCAATGTTCTTCTTTTGCTTCTTATTTTCGCAATACTGTGCCAGGAACATGGTGCATAGAGTTACATAATCCGGGATGGATTTTTGCGGTCTATTCCTGAACCACTCTAGTGCCGCTCTTGTCAAACTGGTAGGAAAAACTCTGCACATCCAAGGGTCATTATGATCATCTAAAGCTATCTTTTGAGCATAATGATCTAGGTGCCGAGAAGTATCCCCTGTTCCATCAAACTGGGTAAAAGAAGGCATGGTGAATTTCTTGGGCCTCTCAACCAGATACACATCGTCAGTGAAAGGAGTTTTGATCAAAGAATTTTTGTGTTCTCTAGCCATCTCGACAGGTGTCTGAATCTTCAGGAGTCTCTTCTCGTTAAAGGCATCATGAACACCTGCACCATCTGGGATTCCATTGGACCACACCGTAAGCTTATGGCTGGATTCGACTTGCTCATCCTGCGTGTGACGAGGGACGTTATCTGAAGCCGCAGCCTCGGATCTTGCCTTCCGTTGCTGCTGAACCTCATTGGGTGGAACCCCATCAGGCGGAAGTCCAGTAATCGGAGGAATATTTTGACTAAGGGGTGCTGCTGTGTCACCTACTGGTGGCAGTGGTGCCAACTGAGCCAGCGTCGTTTGCAGAGCATTATTCTGCTGTTGAAGCAAGGCGATCTGAGCCACGCTTGTTTCGATTGCCTGACGAAGTACGTCAAACTGGTGCAGAAACTCTTCGAGCATCTTTTGCATCAATTCCGTCTGTTGATCTGCTGAAGATCATCCGTTCGACATTCTGGATGGTAGCTGCAAGATTCACTTGTGAAACAAAAACAAGAGTGGGTATATATTTGCACACGATTCCTACAAACGGCGCCAAAGTGTAGGTGCAAAATTCTACTCAACCAATAATAATTGAGAAAAATAATACAACACACTCAAGAACAGTAAAAATAAATAAGAATAATGTATAGAGAAGCGTATAATTGCTTGGATCCCTTTATTGGAGGTCTGTGCCTTTATTTATACACACAAATTGGTAGAATTAAAGTAGGACTCGCGTTGCTTGTCCTCCAATTCTTCCCATACATGACTTTCTTTACAAATAGAGTTCTTTCTATTGTATAATATTTCCTACATAGAACTTGCCTTGTACAGAACTTCCCATAAAAGAATTCTCCTTTTATGATAAATCCTTCTACCGATAGGATTTGTCCAATCTTGGAAAACTGGGCTGAATACTCCTTGAACCAGTTGGGCTTGAATAACGGGCCGGATGTTTGATGTTACCGTGTTGGGCTGATAATCTCTTGATTCGGGCTTCAACAGGACTGAAGGTCAAATAACAATAGTATTGGGCTTGTGAATAGTGATCTTGGACTAGCCTCAAACTCAATTTGGGTTTGAGCGAGGTGGGCTTCATAAACTCATCATGGATAAGTTTATATTTATGATGACGTGGATTATTCTTATTGGAGGGAGATTTTTGCCTCCACAATTACCAATTGGTCTAAAGGGTTTTGACTTTTGTTTACTAAGTTGTGGTTTTTTTTTTATTTTTTTATTTTATTATTATTATTTTTTCATGTACTAAGTTGTGTTGGGTGTCTGTGATTTGTTGCAAAGGTTAAGGTTCATTTGATAATATGGAATTGACTTAATAATTGGTTAATTAAAAAAATCAAAGAATTGAGCTTTCACAATCATCACTTTTTTCTAAATCATACTATATTTATATAACATAAGTGGTGAAGTAAGGTGAAGGCATTGCATTAAGGTCCGTTTGGTCCATGTTTTAAGAGCACAGGGAGCGTAGCTTAAAATGCACGAAAATCCACAAATATATGTAAGTCGGGTAGGTGATCAATGACAGATCCGGTAATTAGTACTAAACCAGACAGTGCCTTAATAAATTATTTTAAGGACAGGAATTGTTTACCATTCTACTTATCATATTTCCATCAGGCCGGGTATTGGAGTGTCCAGCTCTACGAGTCATTGTTTACTAGTTATATTTCTCTCTAATTTGTTAGAAAATTCTGATGCAGGGATGAAGTAAGAAGTTTTTAGTTGGAGAGGGAAAGTAAAATTTTGTAATTAACATTTGAAAATTTTATAAATCAATTGTAATGTATCCTTCTTTATATGATTAGTCTATCGTACATAATGAGGAAAATGTAATTCAAAAAATGCTAGCTATATGAATAGAGATGGGAAAAATGATTTGAGAAAAAAAGTGATAAATTTAAAATATTATAAAATAATATTTTTTCTTCAATTTTTAGTTTCTGAATTTTTTTTTTTTTGGAAATTGAAGCAAATTGTATAAATTTAAAATAGTTACATAGGAGGGCCATTAGGCTAATACAAAATAAACCCAGGAGGGAAACAAACCAGCCCAAAAAAAAAAAAAAAAAAAAAGAGCAAATAGCCTAACAAGGAAAGCCCAGCCAAGAACCAACTAATAACCGCAATTAACGGTTGATTAGCCGTTAAGTGAGGTTGTTAGAAACAATCTGGTGAACCCTAGCTGAGGACGATGAGTGATCCTCATCATACAAGAGAACTATCCGGCGGCCTTGGAGGAGGACGGCAATGAGCAGGTGACAGATTCCAATCCCTGAGAATTTGCCTCAAGGATTGATTGTCTTCCAAAAACCCAATTTGAGCAGAGCTATGACTGTGAAGGTAATCTTTGCAAGAACCACTCTCTGTGATGATTTTTTCCTTTTGAATATCCTTTCATTTCGTTTTTCCCAAGTATGGTAGATCATGGAGGAGAGACACACTTTCCTCAGCAGATTCTTGGGAGAATCCCTTTTCCAAAGGGTGCTTATGGAGAGGATCAAGTCCTCCCAATTTTTGATTGTAGTGCTGAATCTGCATTTGGATTTGATGAAACGCTATATTGGGGAGATGAAGCTGCAATTGAAGAATAAGTGCTGGTGTGATTCTTGGTGGCTTTCGCAGAGAGCACATTTATTTTCATGGCGGGACATTGACTTACAGTCAAGAGTAGGGAGTCTGGATTGGACTACAAGCCATAAGTTGAATTTCATCCTGGGTATTGATGGAGATCTCCATACCAAATTGTACCAATGGACTTCAGGAGAATGCTCTGCTAGATGACTTGCAGTGTGTTTGAGGCTATATGTGCCATTTGGTGAAGCAATCCAAAGTTTTTTATCATTCCTTAAGGGACATGGAGGGGGAAGTGATAGTAACTCTGGAATGGCATTTGTGAGGCTAATGGGAAATGACTAAGGTGAATTTAAGATGAAGGTATTTACTGTGACTGTATCATTGAATCCCGCATCAATGAGAGTTCTAAGTGGATATCTTGTGCTGAGAGGCCCTCCAGAGATCCAATTGTCCCACCAAAAGGTAGTAGCTAATCCATTCCCAATTTTGTGTTGGATGAGAAGCTTTGCAGGATGTCTGAGCTGTAGAATCTTCCTCCAGCTCCAAGAGCAAGGTTGAGGGTCCAAAAATTCCTTGACTTAATGAGATGTGTGTTACACCAAGTGATCCACAGCCTGTTGTTATCATCTATTTGTAAATCCCAAATATACTCAGCCTCACATTGAAGAACAAATCTCATCCTTGCTTGGCATTGCATTTGGCTCACTCCCAATCAAGTACCTGGGAGTTCCACTTATCTCTACAATTCTGAAAATTTCAAAGTTTAGAGTTTGATTATTATTATTATTATCATTTTCAGTACTTAATTTGATTGCACATTTGGGAAATATATAGCAATACTTTGATGAAAGATTAAAAAATAAAATTTGTAGCAGGTTAACGAAAAAAATCTCATAAAACTCACAAAAAAAAAAAAAAAAAAATACAGTTATCAAGAAAGAAATAGTGAAGTTTTAATAAGTAATAGATATAGGAGAATAACAATCATAACAAAATTTTTCAAATTTGTCAATTTTTTATTTGAAATTCATAAATCCACTTTGTACTTATGGAGATACAAAACTCTGACCCTTTAATTTGTAAGGTGAGAAAATACTACTATATTACAATTATTAAAATGATAAAGAGTAAGAAACCCCTATTATATACAAAATTGTGCAAAAACACTCCTAAAATTTAATTAGACCTACAATTTTTTTTTTTTTTCGAAAGTTGAAACTAATATATAAATAAAGAGAACTGTACAGATGGGGGACAAAGGAGCCCAGAGGCCCAAACAGAAAAGATACAGCATTTTAGCGGCCCAGGGCCCAAAATGAAAGCAAATCAAAAACCAACAATGACAGTTAATTAGCCGTTAATGGTGGAATCCGGCACAAATCCGGTCGGCAAGCTTTAATCACCTACAATTTTCAAATTGTGTAAATATACACTTTGTCAATTTGCCCTTAGCGGAAGACTAAAATGTCTATAATGCCTTTAGGGTAAAGTGCAAGAAGCTTCCTTGGTATATAAAAAAATGTGCAGCA